TGATATTTCTAAAAATGAATACTTTTTCTAAATAATTTTTAAAATAATTATTTTCCTGCTTACCAGGACCTCCTGGAGAGGATGCAAATGTCCCAAGACTGTCATTCTCAGCAGCACTCACACGACCGCAACCCAATGCAGGCACTATTGTCTTCAACAAGGTCTTTGTCAATGAAAGAAAGGCCTACAATCCAAAGACAGGTATGTATGTATGTTAAAGACAAGCATATAGTGTGTGAATTAAGGTCTGTCATAATCATAAATTCTCTCACTAAATATATTTTGACAGGTATGTTCACTGCACCTGTGAAGGGGCGATACTTCTTCAGTGCAGTCCTGACAGGTCACAAGAATGTCAAGATCGAGGCAGTCTTGTCTAAATCCAATTATGGAATTGCCCGCGGAGATTCAGCAGGCTATCAGCCTGAGGGTCTTGAGAAACCCATGGCAGAAGCACGGCACACTCCTGGCTCCCTGGTCATCTTCAACATCATACTTCCTCTGGAGAAGGGAGATACTGTCTGCACTGACCTGGTCACAGGTAAACTTGCCCACTCTGTGGAGCCCCTTACGATCTTCAGTGGGATGTTGCTCTATGAGGAAGACGACAGATTGTAAGACCCATCTGAGACTCAGTGAGAACAATTTCAGATGTAAACATTTGTATCTGGACATAACTTTTTTGAAGAACAGTTCTACATATTCAGTGTTGAATAAGGTTTATAATACAAATTATATGCAGGTTTTGTTTATAACAGGCCATAAGGAAACACAAGATGGATATATTTTTCCTCCATTATTAGAAAAATGGACTGAGATTTTTATTTATATGGTTATGTTTTTTTACATTTATTCTTGAATGGCAAATCATATATTTTCATATACTGTATGTGAGCAGCCATGTTTGCTTATATTAAAATACAACTGACAACGGAAAAGATCTTTCTAAAAAATAGCACATCCATGTCACTTCTTGCCCCAGAAGAGAATGAGTGACTGTCAAACTGGGATCGGACTCAAGTAGAATATTTTACATAATTATCTAATAACCTAACACAATCTTTACTTGATCTGACCTTACAAACCTTCATTATAGTAGTTATTTGAATGTATAAAGATGTGTTGTTGTCAGCAGCGTGTTGCTAGACCCTTGAAATACCCATATGCCCCAGTAAACATTACTGATAAATACTGAGAATGGAGATTACCATTTACTGACATGAGAATAATTTTGCCTGATAATATTTCAGCAATCATGTTGTGTGTTTTCTATCAGCTATTTACAATCACATACAAGATTCAGAAATTAAGTATTCTTGAGCTAACTGGTTTTGCAAAAAGGTCTGAATTTGTTTTTGATTCATTCAGACAGTTCACTCATATACTGAATCATATACAGCATTTTCTCAAACGAAAAAGAAAACAAAAAGAGCGCTGGATGAGGTGGATCTTTACCTACAATACAGTGTAAAAACAAACATTGCAAATGTCTTCGAATGTTTAACAGTGATTAAACAGCACATGCAACTTGTGAACAACTCTGTAAAGATAATTTAAGATATATTCATATAACAGGATATAAAAAAGGTTGGTTGGCAGTGCAGTGCAGTGCATAATATAGTGTATTCACATGCACAAGCCAGTGTATTTACAGTACTTCCCAAATAAATATGTTTGTTTGAAATTTGTAGAGAAGAATGGGAAATTATTATTATTATTATTATTATTATTAATAAATGGAACACAAGAACAGATGTATATATATATATACATATATTAAAGCTTGTTGTGGATCTACAAGTACATACTTGGGTCTGTACCAGTCCTTTTGGCCACTTGCAGTTTGCCTGTATTTTCTGTTATCCAATCAATGCAATCACTACTTTTCTTTTAAGAAATGCTGTTTATGCTCTCAGAAAATGCTAACACAAAAACCACGGACAACATACTGTATGTGAAAAACATAAATGTAATACATTTTTTTTTAAAGCATCACGCCGCAATGTATACCATTATCCCCTTCTAACTTTCAAGCTTCATTAAAATACACCTCAAGAAGAAGGAATCCAGAGACCATAAGAAAATATGGATCTGTGTGTACTGTTGGTGTGTTTTCAGTTTAAAATGAGGAAAGATATTTTTCCCTTAAAGGTTCCATTCAGGTTTTTTAAAGATGGATATAATAAATATTACACATGATGTTTTCTATTATTTCCCATTTCCTCACTGTGTTATTCTTTCATATTTGTGGCACATTTCTTCACTTAATCTCCAAATTTGGAAAAGTAACTATAAAAGAATGAACTCAAATAAAGCAGGCTGTGCAGAGGGACATTTTTAGACATGCCAGAGGCTATAGATCAGGAAACTTCTGTAACCCATTCTCTGGTGACATCCAAAGAAAACTATCAAAGCTGTTTGTGCTTGATGCAGAAAAGATTTCATCCTGGCTATCTTTTTGTCATTGGATTTTTATTTTGTCTCTTTGGACTGCAGATGTTCTCCAAATCTAACAGCTCAGAACCTGTATCTTTGCCAGACATGTATTTGTGCGACCTTAGCTGTCTTGGTGGTTTATGCTTAATGTTTTCTTTAATACAAAGGGATTTAAAAGGATTTTGCACTGAGTACTGTGAGATCAAACCTTGACCATTCAGTCCATTTTAACCCTCAGAAGAGAGAAATTCCTTAAAAGGTCTTCATAAATGTTACTTCAGAATGCTTCATCTTGCAGTAAGACAGCTGATTTGCTCAATTTCCACTTGGGACCAGGTTATATCAGCTGTCCAGGCATAACCTGAACCATATCAGGTCAAATCTGATATTTTTAAGTTTCGTCTCACTACAGGCATTACAAAACAGTATTATAATTATGCAAATAAAGTCTGACTGACAAATAAAATCTGACTGCTGTGCAATCCAAACAGTCCTCAGATTATTTTCAGCACAAAATGTTTTCATAATCATATCTTCTTCAAAGCTGAATCCTATATATTGAATATACAGTATATTTGCAATGCTAGTTGTTAATTAAAATATTTTTGACAAATTTCTTATTGTGTTAAGAAGTTTTTTCTGATTTTAAAGGGGTCCTAGTATGCTCTTTTACAAAGTCTTGATTTTGTTTTGGGGGTGTACTAGAACAGGCTATCATACTAGGTTGTTCGAAAAACACATTATTTTTCACATATTTTACATTATTACAACACCTCTGTCCCCAGTCTGGCATGAACGGCTCGAATAGTTCCTGTATCAAATGAAGGCCCGCCTTCTGAAATACGAAATGTGCTGTGATTGGTTAGCTGGGCCAGTGTGTGTTGTGATTGGCAGTACTCGGCGCCTGTCGGGAAATGTCATGCCCCTTACCCTAGCCGCCTGCGAGCTTCAGTGTAAATATTGCGTCAAAATCAAATCAATTTGAGCACGATTTAAACCTGGATGATTGTAACCACTTTAAATTCATCTGCCTTGGGAAAGCTAGCATGTCTCCGACATAGTGATAACACTCGTTGCCTTCTCTAGTGCAGCTCAACCAGGTCTCATCCCATTCGTCGATATTTGTGATATCACAAATCCCGGAAAATATGTGTTGTAGTCCAAATGAGTCGTTCGTTGTAGTTTTTGAAAAGTGATTTCTGTTAAATAAAATATCTCCTTTTGAAGTGGACTTGAAGTGAGCTTTGTAACTTTGCAGATCTTTTTTATGCTCAAACAGCAACATTACAGACTAACTAAAGTTGAAAAAGTGAAAAAGCATAATAGGACCCCTTTAAGCCTGTTGTTATGCAGTTGCTAACCTTCCCTTTAACCACGCACGCTCTAAACTCTAAAGCCCCGCCCTCCAAAGACACTCTAGCCAATCCCAAAACATAAAATGCAGATTGTGATCTCTCATTGGCTAAAAAGCGCGGGCCATTGTACTTATAGTGAATTCGCGCCCTCTAGTGGATTATCTGAAATCTTCTTCGCCACATTTTCTTATTGAACCGGACCACCTTCCTGAGAATGATTGAGCGCGGGCTAAAGTGATAACATATTAAATTATGCATGACTTCGACTTAATGGTGAGAGAACCATATCCAATGTGAGCATGGCTCGAGCCGAGGAAGCCTCTCTTTGTGATAGATGTCACTTACTGTCACTCATACAAAAAGTTACTCACACGCTTGAAGACATTGCCATGAAAACTGATACGCCGTTTCTCGTCAGGCTACTCAACCCAGGTCAAGTGATCACGTAAAAGTGCGGTAATTCTATCTTAGGCCGCTTCTAATAAAAAAGAGGCGGGGACAATGAGGCGGAATTTCCTTCTTGAAGAAGCTTTTTAAGAGTTCACGGCGTGCTGTTGCCATAGAGACACAGAGAGCACAGAGAGACGCGCTTGGAAACAATGTAACATTTACTTAACATACGGTGGAGGATTTCAGAACCCAAAAACAGGTAAGGGAATCTGATTGTTCTTTGACATTGAACGTAGTCTTGTAAAACGTGTTTATCAGATATACAGCTATATTATTAACAATTTAAAAATCTCCAAATTAAGGTGCAAAAAAGACCCCTTAGTTAAATCGGGTCCCCAAATTATCACATGGTCGAAAAAAATTGTTTTTATTGAATATTCTTGGAGGAACATTATTTGCATAAAAAGAAATGTGTTTGTTATGAAAAATCATGTAAATATTAAAGTTAAAGGGCATCAGACGCTTGGGTAAGTCGTCACATTTAATAAAATGCTCATAATCAGATTACAGTTACCTATTTATGGATTACATGATTATATACTCACACAATGGAAGTAAATTATTCATAATTTACTGTTTCATATACTGTTCCTTTTTTTCTTTTAAATTGTCCTTTCTAAAGGAACCTACTTTCAGCCATGTTGTGCCCTACTATTGCACCTTGATTAAAATCTCAAGTGAAATGCATTTAAAACAAAGAAAACGAGGGGGAAAACCCTACAAATGCTACTGTAAATTTTTTAGATTTTCAGGTTCATGATGTCATGCACCCAGGCCAAGGGAAGGCTTGAAGTTTTGCAGATCTATCGGCTACTGCAGTGCGTCCAGGATGGAGATCAGCTGTACATAGAGAAATTAATCAGCATGGGTGTTCGTGACCTCATAAATCTGACTGAACCACGCGAGGGGAATGGTGTCCTGCACCTGGCATCGGTGGGCAACAAACCCGACATGCTGGAGTTCCTCATAGCTCAAGGTGCCCGTCCAGACATGCAGGACAGGAGGGGGAGGACACCTCTGATGCTGGCTGCAGAGCTCGGATATGACAGGATCGTGTCTCTACTGGCCAAGAACAACGCAGACATGAAACTTGTAGACAAAGAGGGGAAAGGTAATTTTTTATTATTTTAATTTATAATATAGTTTAACTGCCTCTTTTTTCCATTGCTGTCCATATAAATATGCATAAGTTATAAGCTTCTGTCAGTGCCGGGTTCGATGTCAATGTACTGTATAGACTTTATCTGTGAATACTTCATTTTATTTATCCATATACAATATTTCTCTTTCTCTCTAGGGTTAGATATTATTAGGCTTCCTGTATCTGACACCTCACCAACAATTATTCTTCATAAGACAATTTGACAGCAACCACATAGTCCACAGGGATCATCAATGGCTGGCAGCATCCTGCCATTTTGGAGATTTACTGTATGCAGATCTAATTACAGATCAGGGCTCATCCAGTAAAACTAGTGTGTAAACCGATCTGAGTAACTTTGGCTTCCCTCCCAGGCTTGCTCTTCTACTGCATCCACCCTACAAAAAGGCACATGCGCTGCCTCCAGGTGGCCCTTAACGGCAATGCAGATGTCAACAATGTTTCAGGAACTGGGATGCCAGTGTTCTTGCTGGCTTGCGAACAATCTCAGGACTGTGAAGGAATGTGTCTCAGTATCCTAGAGAGAGGAGCAGACCCCAATGCTACAAATCAGGTTTGCAAACATTGTATAACTGATAAATGGACTGCAAAATTAATTGAATGTGTACTTGCAGAGTACTTAAGATCTTGTATATTTGAAGTGTGTGTGTATATATTTGTACACACACACACACACACACAGCCACATATGTTTTATTTTACATATAAGCGTGTGATGGAAATGTTACGTCCCTTACCATATTGTGACGCCTGCGGCAACCACATGTGACGATCCCGGGCTGGTGAAAGCTGATCCGGCAATTGACAGCGTGAAGTTGAAGTATTTCCTCAGCGACCAGCACGGATCAGCTCCAGGCATGACGAAGCGATATCGTCCTCTTTTGGAAGGCCAAACAAAGTAGTTTTGCTTTCACAACGAAGCACACAGCGTCTTGACGACATGGCGGCGGAAACAACAAAACTACAGCGAGAATAAAAGTTACACCTTCTTTCTTTGCGTGAACATTTGGGCGGCGTTATGCAAATCTTCCCTGATAGTGACGTAGGTATGTGGGGGCGTGTTAGAACAAGCCGTTTTAGGTAGCCGTGACTGACTCTTAACTTTTATAAAGAATATCTCTTTGGATTTGAGACTTTAGTCTTCGCAACTTTACAGATCTTCTTTATGCACCAAGAGCTTGTAACACTCCAAAGAGAAAGGAAAAATTGAAATCGCATCATATGACCCCTTTAAAGTATATTCAAAACCATTTTTAAATAATTAAAAGAAGCTTTGGCATTTTACCTACATTTGATTTTGCAACTTAAACTGATCTTCAAATAACACATCCTTCAAAGCACTTTGAGCTCACAAATCATCCAAGTACATCAACTAAGCAAACTCAAGACTGCTGATGGGTCGAGTGTTTGCATTATTGATTTTGTGTGTATGATATCCCAGGAAACTGGTCGGACAGCTCTGATGGAGGCCACCAGAGCAGGAGCAATAGATCTTGTGAGAGCCATTCTCAAGAAAGCAGGAAACGTCAATGCCCTGGATAAGAAGCAATTCCATGCAGCTCACTTTGCGGCTGAAAGAGGTTTCTTTGAAGTGAGCATCACTTCTGTTGTTGTTTAACAATTATATAAGAGTGATAAAATTTGCTGTTATTGAATGAAACTTTCCTAGCATTTGGCTATAAGCCTACGTATTTCTCCAAGTGATTATCATTACTGCTTTTTTCCAGATCATTATGGTGTTGTCTGCATATGCAGCAGACTTTGGAGTGGTAACATCAGAGGGGGATACACCGCTGCACTTCGCTGCCTCTGGTGGCTACACAGATTGCTGCAGGTTTCTAGCTCAAAGAGGTAAATCAATTTATTTTAAGCCAAACAGAATCATTAAACCGGGGGAGAATGGCTGCTTATTAATATTTTTTTGAGCAGATTGCTGTAAATTCTCAATGAAAAAAGATATCAATAGTAAAACAACTGACTTTACATGAAAACAACACAATAAGGTATAATTCTCTGTATTTTTTATTATTTTTCTTTATTTTTTGTACTTTTACTTTATTTATTCATTTTATTAGGAAAGTTTATTTTCCTTTTATTACATGCACCATATTTATTCACAAACTCGTAATGAGAAGTGCTCGTCATAAACCGGCTATTATCAACAAAAGAGAAGCTTTAAGGTCCCACTTTGGTTTTCTTCTGAAAATGAAGAAATTAAGTAATTTTACAGTTGTTATTATATTATTTTTCTTAAATACTTGATTTTAAATTATTATAATATTTCTTATTTTGTTTAAAAATTATTTAGTAATAATAATAATAATAATAATAATAATGATAATTAAAATGTGCAACCCTCCCAAAAATTAAGAGGGCAATATTTATTAGAAAAATCACAATTAGATTTTTCCCAATTTCCCAAGTCATGCTTCTTGATATGGAACAAGCTGAACTTGATTTGAAATATTATATTTGATGCCTTGAAGATTCAAATTCCTACTTTAGGATGCAATCCCAAACTGAAGAACCAAGAAGGTCTGCTTCCCCGTCAGATCGCTAAGGATTGTGGTCACAAAGCCACTGTCAAAGAGCTTAAGAAGGCTGAACGACTGCATGGAAAGTTCTCAAAAGGAGCAGGTGGCACAAATGAACCATGGGCTCTGACACTTTACGACTGGTCTCATGAAAATGAGAATGCACTGAGAAGTGCTTTCGAGTCAGCATCAGATGGCTACATGGGAATAGAAATGGTGTCCAGAACGACGTTTGTGTCTGTTCTTCAGGACCTTCACACTCCTCTAAATGATAAACAAATTCATGCTCTTCTGCTTGCTCTCGATAAGAGAAGAGAGGGCTTTATAAATATAAGTGATTTTCTAAAAGGTCTCAAATATCTTCCAAAGACATATGTTATGGCTTCTTATGGGGCTAAGAAGAAGAAAGCAACCAAGGCAGGAAAGACCAAAAAGACTAAGTTCAATGCACCTATGCCCATCTGCACTGTCCCACCTGATTTCATTCATCGGCGTGACGATGGTGGGCCACCGCATTTTATGATTGAAAGTTACCAGCATGCTACAGACACCCACAGATATGACCGGGACCATCGACCAGGACATCCTATCGAAGATGATACGGCATGGTACATCGATGAGCCCGAAAAGATATACATAAATATGAACTACTGTGTTAAAACAGGAGATATTGAGTCTCTCAGGTTGGCACTCAGCCAAAAGATTCCTGTAGATGTGAAAGATCGCTTTTACAAGACACCACTCATGGCTGCATGTGCAAGTGGGAATTACGAAGTGACAAATTTCCTTCTTGATAATGGGTAAGTTTAATGTACTTATAAGAATTGACTTAAAAGGATAGCAAGTTCACCCAAAAATGGTGATTACCCCACCCTATTGTCATTCCAAATCTGTATGATTGTTTCTTCTTCTGCAGAACATTAAAGAAGATATTTTGAAGAATGTTGGTAACCAAACAGTTTTGGTTTCCATTGACTTAGAAATCAATGGGAAATACAATGGAATTCAATGGAAATCGAAACTGTTTGGTTACCAACATTCTTCAAATTATCTTCTTTAATGTTCTACAGAGGACAGAAGGTCATACAGGTTTTGAATGACATGAGAGTGAGTAAATGATGAAGGAATGACTATCCCTCTAAATTAATAAATTAAAGTATATTTACATTGGCATATGTATATTCGTAAAAATTATATCCAAACCATAATCTCACCGCAGGGCTGATGTGAATGCATGCGATCAGTTCAGCTGGACACCTCTACACCACGCCTGTCATGCAGGACAGCTGGACATCATACAGTTGCTGCTGGAGGCGGGAGCTTCTGTGGACCCGCCCGCCCTCAATGGAGCCACTCCCCTAATGAGAGCCATTGAGAGCTGTAGACCGTCCTGTGTGGAGTACCTCATCAAAGCTGGGGCCAAGGTCAATGCAGCAAATAAGACAGGTACAGTTCCCTTCCTAGCAAATAACTATTATAATACAACTTCAACATGATAGATCATAAATCTATTCAAGTGTGCAAACCATGAACACCTTTTCTATTTCATAACCATCTCAGTGCAGACTGTTTTTACGTCATTCCCACAATGCCACATCATCTTTGCTGGAGGACTCTTATGAACACCCTGATTTACAGTGCATTAAACCTCTGAGATTGATCAACTTTGGCTCTGCTGTCATTTGAGTCAGGAACTTTTAATCTTTTAATTGCAGAGCAAAACTGCTTGGACATTGCCCACGCTTATGCAGACTTCAGGGTGGTGGATTTGATCCAGGCTAAGATTAATACGCTACCCAGACCTAAGGAGAATAAGAAGCCACAGCCTGTCAGAATCCAACGCAAACTAACACCGGCCTCAACCCCTGGCTCTACAAAAGAAAAGGTAGAACAACTGTACTGTATGTGACTCAACATATCTATTCAACATATCCAACGAGCCAATCAATTCCTGACAAAATCTTAATTTTTTCTTCATTGAGAAGCTATTTTACTCAGCTATACATTACAGTATTGAATAAAAACTTAAAACGTAATATGAGACCATTGATAAATATTATTTCCCCTTTCATATAATTTAAAGATTCAGATTTTTTGGTTTGATTCAATACTACAGTAGTCCTGGACTTTATACTGCCGCTGATCATTTATTCAATGATGCTATTGTATAAATGTGCTATACATATTTTTTATTCTGCCACCAGAAGTGTCTCATAGTAGTGGGTTATCGATGCAAAATCAATATTCATCCTTGCGTAGAAACATGTTTTTTACATTGGTGTTTTTTCCTTGTTCCCCCGACCTGTAATGCGACCTTCGTCACATTGGTGTGATGGTGCTATGAAAAAATATATATATTATTATTATTATTTTTCACTGGATATTTGTCAAGTACTATTCACAGTAATTCTCATTTTAAAATTGCTGTGTCATTTCAAATATAAAATTGAAACAGCATAAGAGCTGTGATCAAAACCATCTGGTATGGCAAATGAGATGACACAGCAAATGAAAACCCAAGCAAAGAGTAAGTATATGAGTCCAGACGTGTCACATTTCCCTCCAACAAGGCCTTGGCGACTTGGTGACTCGTTAGTGTGCACAGGGAAACACCGCTGAACCTTTGTTGAAAGTCACACCATTGTCAATGTGTCATCACGTCCACTGTGTCTTGATTACGGTGTTGGTGCTTTATCTTCCCAGCAGGGCACCGTTCCCACTCCTACAGCCTCCTCGAACTCAGCAGTCAAGAAAGCAATGAAGAAAGACAGTGTTATCGTGCACAGCACTCAGATCACTACCGGCAAGCTCAACAAATTGGACATCAGTTTTGTGCCAAGAACGGTAAGCTGGACACCATTCATAGGTATACGCACAGAGAAATAGGCCTTATGAACTAATAATAAAAGGTGTTTTCATGCCAAAACAGTGTGCACATAAATGTCATACTCTTATTCTACTGATCATTCAATTAATCAACATACAGTAGTTATGTCTCTCAGGGTTTCCGCGGGGTCTTAAAAATCTTAAATTTTGTTGTATCAAATTTAAGGCCTTAAAAAGTCTTAAATTGTACAAGAAAGTCTTAATTTTGATTTCAGGAGGAATCTTAAATTTGGGGACGGAAAGACCAGAATTGCGATATGGCTTAATGTAACGATTAAACTTCAAAAGGCTATGATTTTATTAAATAAACACGAGCGGTGCTGCACTGATTTGTGTTCAGCTGTTACCGGGGAAACGGTTATACTTTTGCCCTCCTGCTGGCAGAGAATGAATGTGCATTTTCAGTAAGCCTGTTTTATTCAGGACCGCATTTCTAGGATGGTATAGGCTAGTGTTTTTTGTTTGTTTGTTTGTTTATATTAGCAGCTCATACTATTCTTTAGCACTTGCTTTTCAATTCTGTATATTGTTATTTTTAAGGAATTATGTAGTTGTTTAATTGTTTACACTTAATTATTGTCCTAACCAACTCCTAACCCTAAACATACCCGTTGGTAACCCTCTTGAAATAGTTAACCTAATTTATTTCAATATATTCTCTCTGTCTATATATAGGATCTATATATAAATATTATATATATATATATATATATATAGGATCTCTCTCTCTCTCTCTCTCTCTCTCTCTCTCTCTCTCTTCTCCTCTCTTTCTTTTTTCCAACTGCTTTCCAATAGCCAACAGCTATATACTTTATTCAGTATCTCTCTCTCTCTCTCTCTCTCTCTCTCTCTCTCTCTCTCACACACACTCTGAGATATATATTT